GCTAGACCTGTTCCCTCCCGAATTTACTCGGGCACATACATCACACGGAGTAGTAATTTTCTTGATAAGTTCATGTAAGTGGGGAATGTAGTATTTGGCTTTTAGCAGTTCAATTAGTTTGGTCTGTCCTAAGTGAGTGCCCTGGTGTGTGTCCTTAATTAGGGCCCATCCTAGAGCCTGGGGGACCACAATCCTTGTGTCCAGTAGAATCCACCGTCCTGTGGAATTTTGTGTGCCCCCTTGTTCTTTAGCAAAGTTTTCTTCATCAGGTGAGTACGTAGGGGTAGGGGGCAGGGTTGGGGCCGGCAGAGTTACATGAAGAGTCAGAGGGTTTTTTTGTTGTTGTTTGTTTGTTTGAGATGGAGTTTTGCTCTTGATACCCAGGCTGGAGTGCAATGGCGCGATCTCGGCTCGGCAACCACCACCTCCTGGGTTCAGGCAAATCTCCTGCCTCAGCCTCCTGAGTAGCTGGGATTACAGGCATGCGCCACCATGCCCAGCTCATTTTTTGTATTTTTAGTAGAGACGGGGTTTCACCATGTTGACCAGGATTGTCTCGATTTCTTGACCTCTTGATCCACCCACCTCGGCCTCCCAAAGTTCTGGGATTACAGGCGTGAGCCACCGCACCCGGCCAGAGTCAGAGGTTTTCCTGTACATGAGCCGTAGAAAAAGCGTGCTGACTGTTCATATATATGTTGACAGTCTTTGCCTCTGCCCAGTCTAAAGCTTTTATCAGAGCTATGAGTTCTGCCTTCTTTGCCAAGGTTCCATGAGGAAGGGCCTGGGCCCTAATAACCCTATTGAGAGTGACCACGGCTGCCCCAGCATACCTGACTCCATCGACCATGAAGCTGCTGCCATCAGTATACAGTACCTCCTCCGGATTCTGTAGGGGAATATCAGTGAAGTCCAGTCAAGCGGTGTGGATGACGTCCATTATTTGCTGGCAATCATGTATGGGATTCTCTGGCTGGCTATCAGGTAGCAGCATGGCTGGGTTTAAAACTGTAGCCTTTAAAATCTTCATGCGGGTCTAGTGCAAAAGTAAGACCTGATATTGAACTATGCGGGCATTTGACGTAGATTTTCCCAGAGCTCCACGGAGTAGTGACTCCACCTTGTGGAGTGCCACTGAGTTTGACTCCTGCCCAAGGTTAGTTTGTCTGCCTCCTTGACTAATAGGGCTGCAGCCGCTACTGACCTCAGGCAAGCTGGCCATGCAGGGGCTACAGGGTTAAGTCTTTTTGAAAGGTAGGTGACTGGCCAGGACCATGTCCCAGTGCCTGGATGAGCACCCCCTTAGTGACTTTCTGTTTTTCATACACAAACAACCGGAAGCGTTTAGAGATGTTTAGCAAGGCCAAGGCTGGGGCCGTAGTTAGGGCAGTCTTAAGTTTGTCAAAAGCCCATTGTTTTACTTCTGTCCAAGCCAGGAGCTGATTTCCTCCAGTACAGGCATACAGAGGCTTGGCTATCTCAGCAAATCCTAGAATCCACAGCCTGCAATATCCTACCACCCCAAGGAATTTTTGAATCTGGCCTTTGTGGTGGGGCTGGGTATATGCAGTACTGCTTGGACTTGGCGGGGGCGCCAGTGCCCTGTTGCCCTTCTCTATGATATAGCCCAGGTAAGTAACTCAGTTGGCAGAGTTGGGCCTTTTTAACTGTAACCCGGTAACCCAAAGTCTGTAGGGTCTTTAATAATGACTGGGTGGTCACTTTACTGGATAGTGGTCCCAGAGGCTAAGAACTGAGTGGGCCAACCCGGTGTTGATTAAGAAGCTGACAGTTTGTCTCCAACTCTTAAAGTGGCTCTGGGCTCCTGGGGGCTTAGTAAATAAGAGACTCGGCCCTGTCAATCCTGACTCTCTAAATTGAGGAGAGCCCTCAGTGGCTTTTCCTGAGCAGTTACTCATCTTTTTCTCTCGGGGCACTCATTTTTTCTAATGTTTTTCTTCTTTACAGTATGCACATTAGTTTCTTCCTAAAGTGGGCTGGGGACCCCAAGGACCCTTTTAGAAGGCCCCCTGCCCTCTTGGCATGACTTGTGTCTCCTGAAGGGCTGCTATTACTGCCTTAGTAACATTTTTGTTTTGTATGGCTCTAGGAGTATCCCTGTTATTAAAAACTTTCTGGGCAATTTCCAGCAATTGGGTTAAATTTATTCCCTGGAATCCCTCTAACTTCTGTAACTTTCTTTTAATATCTGGGGTTGACTGGAAACGAAAGCCAGATTGGTGGCCCACTGATTTTCTGGAGCCTCAGGGTTGGTAGGAGTGTAGGTGCAATTAAGAGTCTTGTAGACGCTCAAGGAAGGCAGCCGGCGACTTCTGTGGACCGAGTTGCAGTCCTTACCTTGGAGAGGTTAGCGGGCTTGTGGGCCGCTCCCCTAAGCCCTTCTAAAAGGTACTGGTGAGAAGTGTTCAGAGCCTGGTGACCACCCAAGGTGTTGGGGTTCCATTGGGTTCGGGTAGAGGGAAAAACCTTTTCAATGCACTCCTGGTTTTTTTGTTCTTTGTTTTGTTTTCTACTGTTCCTCTCCCTGGACCTATGATGGATTTCAGGGCCTCTCGTCTAATTTTGTCTCTTTCCCCTGTGAACCAAATGAGTAATAATTGTTGACAGTCGTCCCAAGTTGGGCAATGAGTCTGGAGAGCCCTGTGAAAGCCCAGGGCTTCTCAGAGAAGGGGGTTGTTGAGCTTTCTGACAGAACTTAATCCATTGTAAAACCCCGCTGCCACCTTAAGTTCCCCAGCCTCCAAGCATGACCCCCTCCTGGTGAATTTCCATCTCAGCAGATTCCTAAACCTCCCCCTCTGGCCATCTTAGCAGTTCCCCAGCACTACCCCCTTGACCCCCTCTGGGAACTCTCTTAGCAGTTTCCGAGCACAACCCCCTCCCAGGAACTATTAAACTCAGCAGTTCCCCAGCTCCTCCCCTCCTTCACAGCCCCTCACACTGGATGCATCTGCCATAAAAATCCCCTTTGACACGCCACAGGTGCTGCGTGCCAATTTTGGGTGCAGCCAAGCAGCTTTTCCCCTGCTCTTAGTAAAGCTTGTTCCAGCACTTGGTGTTTCAGTCCTCTCTTTAATTTCTATCACCTTCCAGTTATATAAGTCACTCGATAAGAAAGGGATGTGAACAAAGAATGGACGACCTCCATTGTCTTCTCCCATTGGGGGCACCTCTCGGAGAGGAAGGACCACCAGTGGGTGTGGAGCCCCACTGCGGATGTGCAGGGGGGACAAGATTTGGTTACTGGTAGTGTCCAGGGGGTTGCTGAGGCCCTGGTTCAGAGGGCCTTGAGTAGGGTGGAGGTAATTCCTGATCCTCCGCTGGGGTGGGGAGAATGGCTGGCCCAGAAGGGGCTTTCTTTGGGCCAGCTAACAAGACCTGAAGTCTAGCCTGTTTTATGCAGTGTTTTAGCCACAGAGGAGGTTGTTGGACTAAATCCAACCATTGGTTAATGTATGGAAACTGGTCAGGGTGTCCAGAAGTTCCTGCGACCATATTCCATACAGTCTGGATAATTTTTTGAGTCGTAGGTCCCAGTGTCAGGCCACCCAATTCCAAAAGATGGCCATTCTAGTTTACATAAAGAGCAGAGTTTACCTGGGGTTAATTCTACCCCATAGATGGCCATCATGCATTGGAGGGGGTACAAGGCCAGAAGCTAGACAACTGCATTTGGTTTTTCCTGTAGCTGTTGAGTTTCTCCACAAGAAATTTCACTAATTTAAGACTGACTTCACTGAGGATGCAAACCAACAACCTTGCAGTTGCAGGTCCTATACCTTAACCACTGTGCTAAAAGGTCACTTGCATTTCCATGAGTCAGAAAGCTTTCTTAAGCCGTATTTTGAATGTAAATACTATACCCTGAGGAAGTGTGGCCTGCCTGAAAGCCAGGCAGGACTTGTGGCCGGCAGAGAAAGAAAGAAAAAAAAAAACGCTTTTCATGTCAGTTTAAAACTGAGCTGGAAGCCACTGGGCCGGCTTTGAGTTCCCTGCCCCTGCAGCTTTTGGTCGCCTTGACATAGAGACCCTAAAAAGCATTAAATTCCCCTCTCCCTCTCTCTTTCCTTGCTCTCTCTCTTTTTCTCTCCTCTCTGTCTCTTTCTCCCTACTTTCTCTGTCTCTCTCTCCTCTCCCCCTCACCTCTCTCTGTCTCTCTCTTCTTCCCCTCCCTGACTTTCTTGTCTCTCTTCTGTCTTTCTGTCTCTGTCTCCTCTCTCCTCTCTTCTCTGTCTACTCTCTCTCTCTTTTCTCTGTCTCCTCTCTCTTCTTCCCCCTCTTACTTTCTTGTCCTCTCTCCTCTCTCTTCTCTGTCTACTCTCTCTCTTTTCTCTGTCTCCTCTCTCCTCTTCCCCTCCCCTACTTTCTTTTCTCTCTTCCTCTGTCTCTTTTTCTTTTGACAGAAGAGACAATTACTCCTTTTTTACCCTAAACAGGCAAAGAGGGCTGGTAGTTTTTTATTTAAAGTCTGATTCCCTAAGACAGAGAAAAAAAACTACACTCAAGTCATCGGGGACAGAATTTTTCTCTTGGACGTGAGAAAAAGGAAGAATGAGGCCTCAATGATAGAATAAGAAAAGGAAAAGGAAAGAGAACAGAAGTATTTCCAGGGGTGTAAACTCAATTAGAGTTCCATGAAGTCAATGGTCACTTAGCCAATGGAGAATATCATCCACCTCAAGAGTAACAGGTCTAAACCACTGTATGTCAGCCAACAGGAGTCTAACAAAACTGGTGAATTTACAAGAAAGACAGAACCACATATAGGGTTGACAGACAAAGGATGGGTGCCCCCAGATGGGATACCAGTCTGATGCCTACCCGGCCACGTCCCTGGAGGGATGTTTCAGACCATCTTGACTAAGGTGTACACGTATAAACCCCAGGCCTGGTCACCTCAGAATTTTCAGTCCTGAGATAAATCACTGTTATGCCTTATGATGTCACCGTGGAACTGTGGGTGAAGGCCCATATAAGCCCTGTAGCCTTCCAGCCTTGGGACTACATATATACACACTCACTCTCTCACTAACACCAAGGTTATGGAAAACAACTGAAAACTAAATTACCTGAGTCTCCATTGAGGCAACCTGAGCTTCTGGTGAGGCAACCTGAGCCTCCATTGAGGCAACCCGAGCCTCCAGTGACATCTCACGGTAGGCTTGCCTTGTCAGGGTTGCAATGACTGCGTCCGGTCCCTGGACTCAGGCCCCTCTGACAGACCAGTCCCCTGATTTCCAGACCTGACTTACCTCCGGAGGTTCCCAGGACCCTGAGGAATTTCGGGTGAGTGTCGACCGGGTAGTCGCTCATCCTCCACAGGGCCGGAACTCTGGGGCCCTGGAACATCTCAAGGGGTGCCTCCCCTAGAGGTTCCCGGGTGGGAGTGGCCACCTGGGAGAGACTCTGAGATGGCTTTTTCGGGGTGATGGACGAAGATAAATCTTGGTGGGACCTCCAAAATTTTGTACTGGCCAGAGCATAGAAAGTCAACACCAAGACAAAAGTATGCCAAATTGCAGGGGCTTTACTGCCGGCGGCCACGGAGGACTCGCATCTCTCCAACCTGTGGCCCCAGAAGGAGGGTGTCAAAACCTTTTATACCCGTAAAACCACCTGGGGGTGAAGGGTGAGGGGCAGGGAGTGGGGGTGAGGGGCTTCACACATTCTGAGGACCAGTGGACTTTGGACCTTCTGTCAGTCACCTCCTGGGCAGAGATGAGGGTGAGGGGCTTTGGACATTCCGATTGTTACTTAAGTGGTTCACAGAAGTCAAGATAAGCATTAGTTTACACATTGCCTGGGTAGGGTGGAAATTACAGACCTTAGTTACTTATAACAAGTCGCAGGGGCCAAGATGGCAGGGGTTTGGACTGCTTGCCTGTCACATAAGGGTTACAGAGAGCAGTTTCAACAGAAAGCCAAGGTATGTTTGAGGTATGCAGTTTTATGGGGCTTTTACCATGTCACACAGAAAATACATTTCTTAAAAATGTTTGAAGAGAGAAAGAAAGTATGACAGTTATTTATAACATGCTTTGAGAAAATGAGAAACCCATAGATTGAGATTTTGAACAAAGGTAAAAGAGATAATTTTGTTGTTTTTGATCATGCAGATTATCTCTGAACCTGCAAGTTAATTTCAAGATTGTCACTTTTTTTAAAAATAGAAAATTAGCCTTGCTACTTATCTGAATCAAATAAAAATAATTCTGTCTAAGGTTTTTGCATGACAAACACTTTATTTTCCCAGTTAGGTATCCAGCTGTATGTTTACATGAGGAACTTAGCCGTCAAAGATAACCACAAAATCACTTTGAACTCATGAAAATAGAAATATGGTAGTTTTTAAAAACATATAATTTACCAGAATTTTTTTTTCCTGTCATCCAAAATTACATTTCCTCTATAGCTATCCTAAAATAAGAAATAGAACACCCTAGTTTCTAAATTTATCAAGTCTTCAGTATTATTTATTGGTGTTATTCATATAACTGATAATAATCTTCATGTGCTTTTAACAAAATATATGGAAAATACATTTCTTGCAGATGTCTGAAGAGAGAAAGAATGATGGTTCTTAATATTTGCTTCTAAATTAGGACATGAAATGAAAAATTTGCTTTGAGAATATTTCAAAAGTGATAATATTAAATCTTTACATGTGAAGTAAGAGAAAAGGTGGGAGATATGAGATAAATTGTGATCTTATTTATTCAAATAGGATAAAATAACAGGATCATTTTCTGAGTAGTGTGCAATGCTAGAAAGATATAAACTTCATTCATTCCCTCATTTGTTCATTCAACTAATTTTCATGCAGCTCCTATTTATGCCAGGTATCTTACGAAGTATGAAGGATGAAGAAAAAGATAAGAAAATATGCCGGCTCTACCTTAAGGAGAGTCGAGTTAAAAGTAAATAGTGAAAATGTAAAAAGTACCTAATTAAGTGTCGATAATTTTTACAAAATGTGAAGGATATGTTTACATGCAGTGTCGCCAGACAGTTCATTTGGCCCAAAAGGTTACCTGCAAGTTGCCTTCATTTTTTGGGTCTGCTGCCTATTTGTTCAATGACTATGTAACAGATCCTGTCTGACTAAACTGGAGAACTTGTAGCTATCCTTTGGATTGTACTATACTTTCTCCAAGAAGGTCTTTCAAGTTTGTCCTTGTGGTACAGTTCCTCAGTTCTAGGGTGCTACACACAGTTTCTTATATATCATAATTAGTCTTTTATAATAGTTTAATAACCCTTTGTATTAAATGTACTATTTAAACTATCATGTAGTTGCATCCTGATGGGATCCAAACTAATAGAGGTTGGCATTATTTGTTTGTTTTGTCTTCCATGGGAAAACTTAGGCACAGACCAAATAGTGTAAAAAAGTTCAATCATCTGGTAAATAACAGACTGAGATTTGAGCTGAAATGATTTTGAAATCCATTAAGGGAGATAGCCAATTGAGAAAAGAAGAAACAAAGTCATCTGAGTATAATGAAAGTAATGTAACTCTTGATAATGAGTCAAATAATTAATACTAATTAGGTATCTTTTTTTGAAAAGATGAGAATAATAAAAATCGAGAGAATAGAGAAGTAGAAAAGATACCTGTGGCCACTCACCTGTGCCTATCATACAACAAAATTCAGAATGTTTAATGTCCTCTCAAACATCAACTTCAGAGGAATATTGGGGCATAATGGAGGAATTTCTTGACAGAATTGCCTTGGTAGTGAAGACAGTCTTTATGAAGGAGACTGCCAAAACGTATTAAAAAAAAAAAATCACAGAAACAACAAGGACCTCAACAAAAGCTGAGCAATGCAATGCAATGATAAAACCAAGAAAGTAAATGGTTTGACACCATGACGGTGTGGGGTAAAAAGCGACTGAGCATTGGAGTGCTTATGTTTAGATTTTGACTCCCTGTTTCTAGCTGGGCTATTGGAAGCATGTACTTAATCTCTTTATGGTTCAGTTTTAATTTACGAGAATAGTTGCTGGAGGAGTAAAACTGAAGCCGGATTCCTTGGTTCCCACAGCGGGAGCCTGGGTGCCTGGGTGAAAAATCAGAAGTCCTAAGGGATAGGCCACCATGGAAGCAGTGTAACTGGAGCCGGCACTGAAGTTCTTAGCCTTCCTAACCCGGAAAAATGGAGAAAGGGTCCTCAGAGGCGCGGTGAGTTTTACAGCTGAAATAAAACTTGTGGACCCAAAGATTATGTGAAAGTGCAGTTTATTAGAGACAGTGAAAGGACAACTCCCATGCTTTCATGGAGTGGATCCGGGCAAAGGATACCTTCCAGGCAGGGACCGCTGGAGGTTTTACCCTTGAGTTATTCCCTCCCCATTCATGTTCTCGTCCAATGAGAGGAGTTCTTTCAAACTTCCTCTGGATTGATTGATCTTTAACTCCATTACCGGATTGGCTACTTGTTTTAAAACCCTGAGTCACAGAGCCCCCTTCTCCAAGTGCCAACGGCCGGAAATTCAGAAACAAAGGACCTTACCTGGCTTGCCTGGGCGGGAACGGGAAACAAAGAGCTCTACCTGGCCGACTGCGGGAAACTGAACAAAGTGCCCTAGCCACCGCCTGAGAAGGGAAAACCGAGAGTTCCTGCACAGTAAACAAGGCCGCCCCCCCGCAACAACTCCCGCTCCCCGCCAGCTGACCCCACAAAGTCCCTCTAACACAGTCCATCAGAATGAGAATAATATCTAACTTTCATGGTTGTCATGTGTATTAAAGAAAAGGTATAGATTCTAGACCAAATGAAAAGTCAATATATATCAGATATTATCAGCAGTACCATAAGTAAATTAATCAACAAATAACCTATTCTTGAATATATGACAGATGTGATAAATAGCGTTGTTTCAAACATTTGTATAAAATGTTATATAGTTATTTGCGTATATTAAAATTGAAAAATAAATCATGTATTTTATTTGCCATGCTAACTTTAATATCGTACATAATGTTTTATATCCATGTTATGGAGTTGAGTTGGGCATTTGTAAATAAGATGATTGTATGAAAACCTCACGTTTGTATTAGAAGTACTATTTTGGCTGGGTGTGGGACCAAGGGGGGGAAATCATCATGAGGTCAGGAGTTTGAGACCATCCTGACCAACATGGTGAAATCTTGTCACTACTAAAAAAAAAAATACAAAAATTAGCTGGGCATGGTGGCTACTACTCAGAAGGCTGAGGCAGCAGACCTGATCCTGGGAAATTTCCTGCCCTTTTCTAAGCATCTGGGAAAAATGTAAATCAGCTTCTAGAAATGTTGTGATAGTTAATGTTCTAGGTAATCATATAATCCCAGTGAGGGATTTAATGTTCTACCAACAACTGCAGCTAAGACCAAACCCAAGAAAACTAATTTTCATATACTACACAGAAAACCACCAACTTTTAGGTCAAACATCTTTCCTCATGGCTTGTTGAAATGGTGATCCAAGTTGACACAGATGAATTTCAGACAGGACTTAAGTAGCATAGGTTCATGCAGTGTTCCTAAAAAGGGATTATTTTCACATATAATTCCTGCATGAAAGATGAAGGGTTTTTTTCTCTCTAACGTAATGTCAGTGCCCTCAAGACAAGTATTGAAACGAGTATAAAGATATTTTCTCATTGGCTCTTTTAAATGTAACCAAAAGGCAGGTTCAGTCACTCACCACTTACAGAGTTCAATTGACAAGAGCAAGGTCTGGTATAAAGAAATTGACTTTTTATTCTAAAGCTGGCCTAGTGGAAGAAATGCAGGCTTTCTGCCTTTAAGGGTACAACTTTGCTTTTGGAGTAGAAAGCAGGTGCTTTTTAAAATTTGGGACAAAATGTACTGCTGAAGTGTTCATGACGCCTTACCTATTTGACAATTGGTTCAGTGTCTTCATGGGCAAAAACTGGTTTTAAAGGGGTCCAAAAACTGTAGACAGGCATACTTTGGGTTGTGAATTCAATTTTGTCTCTCAGTAAAGCTCCTCCTGGTGGGTGAGAGTTTGGCTCTGGAGGTGCTAAACACATAGATGAACTTGGCCTGTAGGGAGCCTCTGGTGAAGAGGAGGTAAAAGGCTGTAATTACATTTCTAAAGAGCTAAGTAGGAAGTAGGAAAAAGGAATAAAGAGAAAAGAGGAGAGACAATAAATAATTAAAATATTTTCTTAAAAAAATGGGGTACTTGGTTATACTAACAAGTCTTTGAGATAAAAATTTATAATTTGGTTTACAGTAAATTTGTATAAAATTCACACCTAGTAGCTGACAAAAATTTAAACCCAGTTTGTCTTTACACAAGTTTTTAAATTTCAAGGCTGTGCAGTGTGCTACTGTGCCAGAAAAATAATTAAGATTTTAATAAATTTTTCTTTGTTTTCCTCTTTTCAGATTTGTCACATGCTATGCATGTATAGATGTGTGTGTGTGAATAACAGAAGTCGAAATTAGAGCCAGGAAATTATAAAACAATCAGTGTTCAAATCCCACAACTGTCCCAATAAAGTGAAACATTAGGAATTTATGCCTGTGTATGCCTTTACCTGCACTATTTTGTACATTGGGCTGGATGCCTTTTATTTGCTCCTCTAGATTTCTATCTACTCTGATTCATCCTTTTTGTATTAGTCTGTTTTTGCATTGCTATAAATAACTATTTGAGACTGAGTAATTTCTGAAAAAATAGGTTTAATTGACTCACAGTTATTCAGGCTGTACAAAAAACATGGTTGGGGAAATCTCAGGAAACTTACAGACATGATAGAAGGTGAAAAGGAAGTAGGCGATGTCTTCACGTGGGACAGCAGGAGAGAGAGAACAAAGTGGGATGTGCTACACAGTTTTAAACAACCAGATCTTGTGAGAACTCACCCACTAGCATGAGAACAGCAAGGAGGAAATTCACCTGTATGATACAGTCACCTCCCACCAGATCCCTTCTCCAACACTGGGGATTACAATTTGATATGAGACTGAGGGGCACATATTTCCAAAGGATATCACTGCTCTCTGCCATAGCTGACCCATATGTATGACAACAATGGCTCCTAAGCATTCCAGCTTCCTGATGAATTGTAGCAACTAGAACCCAACTGGTTTGGAATGAGCGAAGTGAGTAAGGTCAGAGTATTTGTTTCTTTGGCTCCTTCCTTGAAGGGTCATCTCTGACTGTCCCTTTTAAAAGCGTCACTAATGATGCTTATTCCATATCCCTGTGACTTCTTCTCCTGGTCTTTTAGGCTACAGGGATGGTAATAACTTCACTGTACTGCTAGCCTTGACGTACTTATGGTTTCTTAGACTATGTCTTTGTAAAATATAGCAATTTGAATGAACCATCTGTTTTTAAAATGGGGCTCTGATTAATAAATATATAAATGTATTGAATGTATTATTTAAAGATAATGCAAAATTGCTTGTGTGGTATGTGTTTAAGCATTATTTTACCATAGAACCTAAATTATGCATGTATTATAGATTAAATATTTCTTATACTTTAAACATATTTACATCACACATGATATGTTGAATTTGGAATGCAATTAAAAGCACATATTCTTTTTATTTTATCCAGTTTCAAACATGAAAATGTTAATTCTAGATTTCTGTTTTTGAATTCATTTCAATGGAGCACTGTTTTGTTCCTCAGAAGAGATGGTTGGAAAAGTTTATGTTCACAGTTTAAAGTTTCCTGTTGTTTCTAGATTTTTTTTCTTTGAATTTAAAATACGTTTGAAGCTGCTTTGCTTTTGAAAATGGGCAAAGCATTGATATAATATCATTTGTCTCTTTCCTTAATATGCCTTCTCTGTTTGTATTAATCACATATGTTATTAAGCCTGTAGCCTGGTACTTTTAGGTAATATGTAAAGAGCTACTTTAAAGCAATTCAAACACATCAACCAGCAGGAAGCTCAAATAGATACCCTGATAGGCTAGCCCTTTAAGGGAAAATATTGTTCTCAAAAAAAATAATAAAATAGAAAATAGAACTACTACATTTACTTTCAGAACAAGGAAAAGGCTTTCTATAGTACGAAAGTCAGTCTACTATTTGCTATTAAAAACTTGTTTTTTCATAAATTTGCTGAGACTGAAATTGATTTTAATCAACTTTCACAAAACTTACTCCATGTTTCCTAATGGCCTATTGTGCTTATTTACTCAGGTCTAGGCTTTTGTTCTGTTCCCTCACATACAGCCTCAAGGTCATTGACATTCTTATGACATTGTGATCACTAGACTTTAGATGACTCTGTACCACTATCTTATTTTTCATCCTTGTCTCATTTCCCAGCCACGTTTGGATGAAGTGTATAATAGCCCAGGCTTCTTGTGGATTGTTCACTGAATATGTCAGGAAACAGCCTGTGTTACCTCCAAGGAAAGAAGCCCTTTCTTATCAATGCCATAATTGCCATCCCAGTCAATATTAGCTAATTGAAATACCAGTGATTAATGATCTATCCTTTTAAAGGCTTTGTCTTATCTCAGTGAGGTTTTGAAATCATGCCTAGGAGGTCTATATCATTTTCCAGTAATCTTTTTTTTTCTTTTCTCTTCTAGTTTTAATTTTCCTGTCTTTCATCTTCATAGAAACTGTCCCTACTCAGGTGTCTAAGCTACATATGTCATTTATTTCTTTTGTCACTGTCTCCTTCCTCATCCATATTGCCATATATCTTTCTGTCCTGTGGTGTCTATCCATTTAATAGTACATATTTATCATGGTATTTTATTCCTTCCCTCTGACTAAATATAGTTTAGAGAAAAGGTACAAAGAAAACGGGAGTCTGATTAGCTAGTGACAGTTCTAATTGCTTGGATGTTAGATAAATAAGGTATTATGAAAGTTGGTTTTATCAAGTCATCACAATCTAGCTTTTCTTAAAAACAAAGAAAACATTCAAGGACTTTGAAACACACAACTGTAGGTTTATAGACAGAAAAGTCAACTACATATAATGTATTAGTGTATGAAACACCATTTTGTTGTTTTGACACTATTCTCATCAATAGTATACCAACGTTAGTTTTATTCTGCAAACAGTTCAACAAAAAGGAAGCTATTCATCTGAATTGTAACTAGGTCAGGACCTAAAAGTAAACAATAGTTTCACCACAATAATGCCTCAGAGTACATACAAGTTTTTAGTGATCAATCTATACTTATTGAAAGAGTTAATGAGAAATATCCTTCCTTAAAATTTACTTAATGTAAGTACAAACTGTGGAGTTTTGTTTTGTTTCTGTGCATAAGGATGTAAACTAAGGTGAAGCTGACAAAAAACCATACCTCCCGAATGCCCCTTCTTCCCATAGGTTTAATAGGCTAATTCAAAGGGATATAAAGAACATTTATTATTCTAATATTACCTTGGTGTCATTTTGACATACCCATAGACTTCTAGAGATAAATGACTATTATAAATACAGAGTGGGAGGGTCAATACTGAGAAGCAGTTTAAATGTCATTTGCCATTTATTTGCTGTAACAGACTTTTAAAATCTAACATTTATGGTAATGTATACCAAAAATGAGTTGTATCACAGGACATTTAGTAAGACTTGAAAAAGACATAAATAAAACAGTATTAGGGTAGTTTAAAACTTCATATGTCTTGAGAGGTTAAGAGTCAGTTCTGAGATTAGAGAAATCTTTTATTCAGAGAATGATGCTGACAGGAAGCTTTCTGACTCAATACATCCCTTCACCTATCCCAAGGAAAAAAAGGAAAATTGTTGTTTATTATTTCAAGTTAGGGAGATAATTATTTAAATAATGCAAAGAATTTAATACGTGCCCCTTGAAATTTGGAGGAAACTGGGAAGCCAAACTCTGTGTCACATCTGTGTTATATATAAAGAGAAGTTGAAAGAATCAGTATACCAGGTCAGAATGGAAGATTGATAGTTAGAATGTAGGTACGTTCCGGATTCTTTTGGAAAAATGAATGCATACTTGTTTTCAGTGAATTTCATACTGGTCACTTACATATGCTATGCACAAAGGGCACGTTTCCCAAGGCTTATCAGAGGAGTAAGACATAATGTAATGAACGTATGTGTGTATTTGCCTTTATAATAGAGTGATTTATAATCATTTGGGTATATACCCAGTAATGGGACTGCTGGGTCAAATGGCATTTCTATTTCTAGATCCTTGAGGAATCGCCACACTGTCTTCCACAATGGTTGAACTAATTTACACTCCCACCAACAACGTAAAAGTGTTCCTATTTCTCCACATCCTTGCCAGCATCTGCTGTCTCCAGATTTTTTAATGATCTCCATTCTAACTGGTGTGAGATGGTATCTCAATGTGGTTTTGATTTGCATTTTCTAATGACCAGTGATGATGAGGATTTTTTCATATGTTTGTTGGCTGCATAAATATCTTCTTTTGAAAAGTGTCTGTTCATATCTTTCACCCGCTTTTTGATAGGCTTTTTTCTTTTTTTCTTGTAAATGTGTTTAAGTTCTTTGTAGATTCTGGATATTAGCCCTTTGTCACATGTGTAGATTGCAAATTTTTTCCCCATTTTGTTAGTTACTGGTTCACTCTAATGATAGTTTCTTTTGCTTTGCAGAAGCTCTTAAGTTTAATTAGATCCCACTTGTCTATATTGGCTTTTGTTGCCATTGCTTTTGGTGTTTTAGTCATGAAGCTCTTGCCTATGCCTATGTCCTGAATAGTATTGCCTAGGTTTTCTTCTAGGGTTTTTATGGTGTTAGGTCTTATGTTTAAATCTTTAAGCCATCTGGGGTGAATTTTTGTATAATGTTTAAGGAAGGAGTCCAGTTTCAGATTTTTGCATATGGCTATAGCAAAGACTTGGAACCAACCCAAATCACCATCAAAGATATACTGGATAAAGAAAATGTGGCACATATGCACCATACAATATGTGTATGGAATACCATGCAGCCATAAAAAGGGTTGAGTTCATTTATTTTTCAGGGACAGGGCTGAAGCTGGAAATCATCATTCTCAGCAAACTGGCACAAGAACAGAAAACCAAACGCTGCATGTTCTCACTCATAGTGGGTGTTGAACAATGAGAGCACATGAACACAGGGAGGGTAATCTCACACACTGGGGCCTGTTGGAGGTGAAGGGGTTTGGGGAGGGATAGCAGAGGGTTGGGGGATTGGGAAGGGCTAACATTAGGAAAAATACCCAGTGTTGATGATGGGGGGATGGATGCAGCAAACCACCATAGCACGTGTATACCTATGTAACAATCCTGCACAATCTGCACATGTACCCCAGAGCTTAAAGTATAATTAAGAAAAAGGCATAATGCAATGATACTGTTTCACCACTATAGGGGTTCTGCAGTTGAGAATTCCCAGGTATGGAAGGAGGAAGTGGAGGGATACTGTAAACTGCATGAGTGATTTGTGAAAGAAGGAAGAGTCTTAAACTCCTGTCAAGTCCAGATAGTGAAATATCAGATGTGGACATTACCAGGCCAGAAAGAACTTTACTGCACATTATTCTCCTGTTCCCTTCTTGCTCCAACAGTGAAAGGCAAGAACTCAAGAGTCTATGAGCTAGAAAAGTTTGAAACAGAGACATGGATGAAGCTGGAAACCATCATTCTCAGCAAACTGACACAAGAACAGAAAACCAAACACCACAAGTCCTCACTCATAAGTGGGTGTTGAACAATGAAAACACATGGACACAGGGAGGGGAACATCAGACACCAGGGCCTGGAAGGGAGGCTGGGAGAGGGATACCAGGGGGTGGAGGAATTGGGGAGGGCTAACATTAGGAGAAATACCTAATGCGGATGACAGGGAGAAGGATGCAGCAAACCACCATGGCATGTGTATACCTATGTCAGAAACCTGCATGTTCTACACATATACCCCAGAACTTAAAGTACAACTAAAAAAAAAGGAAAGTATGAAACACTGAGCAGAAATTGAAAGAAAAATCAGCTTATACACATGCTTAGATAGGAGTCAAGTCTCAAATCTAAAGCAAATTCCAACCAACTTCCAAAGTTTGAATATTGAATATGGCTGAACTTTGTAATTACTAAAGTAATATCATAGTGCCTAAGAGTGACCAGAAACACAGTGGAAATATCCAGTAACCTGTTGCTAAGGGAAGCTAATTTACAGAATGGCTTTAAAGGCAGAGAAGCTTTCAAAGTATGTAGTTGTATTAAGATTTTAGACAACTCATTTTTTGTTAAGAATTGTAGTTGCACAAGTTATGTGACCTTGGGCAGGTAACACAATTACTTTGATTCTATTTTATGTCAGTAAATGGTGACAGATATGATGACAAGTCCCAAGGTCTGGAGACCAGCTGAAAAATGCCTGACAACAGTATACAAACAGAGACTAGTTAAAAATTTATAAAATATTTTTTAAATGTTATACTTCTATTTTATAA